TGGACATGAACTAAGGAGGGGATTGCTAGAGATAAGGGGGGGGGTACCAGGTGGAGGGTGGCAAAAGGAGGAAAAACTGGGACAACTCTAATAGCATAATCAATAAAATATACAAGAAAAATTAAAATAAAGATAAATCAAATACCTCCACTGCCCCCCCACCACAAAAGTCCCCTGAAGTCAAAGTTTTGCAGGATGTGATTAAAATTATCAGCCGCATCAAAGTCCATGCCCTTAACTCATGTCTATTATTTGTGCAGCTCTGTGAGGAAAGGGATGCAGAGTACTCATGTCTTCTCTTACACACAGAGGTGAGATTTATTTCTAAAAGTAGATCACTCACCAGAGTTTTTGAACTACAAGGGCTGCTCCAGAGATTTCTTTTAGAAAAAGAGTCACCACTGGCAGGACATTTCAGTTACACAGAATGGGTCACAAAACTTCTTACTTGTGTGACATATTCAACCTGGTGAATGAACTCAAGCTGTAACTTCAGGGGAGAACAACGACTGTGTTCAAGTCGGCAGATAAAATGGCTTCATTTAAAGCCAAGCTGGAATTATGGAGGCGACGTGTGAACCCTGGGATTTTTGACATGTTTCAAACATTAGCAGAGATTCTGAAAGAGACTGAGCCAGGGCCTTCTTTCTCCCAGTTGGTGCATGATCATCTGTCTCAGCTTTCAAAGAATCTGAGCATGACTTCCCAACCACAAAGACCCCCAGAATGGGAAGGAATGGATCCATGCCCCATTTGTGAATAAGCCAGGTGAATCGACTTTGTGCTGGAAGAGGATCAGCTGTTTGAGATCGCAAATGATGGTGGCCTTAGAAGTAGGTTTGAGACAACTTTAAGTCTCCATACATTCTGGATCAAAATCAAGGTGGAATATCCTGAGACAGCCACAAAAGCACCGAAAAGCCTGCTTCCATTTCCAACATTCCATCTTTATGGAGCAGGGTTTTCTGCAGAGACAGCCACCAAAATGAGATTATGGAGTAGACTGGACATAAGCAACACTCTTTGGGTGTCACTGTCTCCCATCACCCTCAGGTGGGACTGTCTAGTTGCAGGAAAACAAACTCAGGTCTCCCACTGATTCTGCATTATGGTGAGTTGTATAATTATTTCATTATATATAGCAATGCAATAATAATAGAAATAAAGTACACAATAAATGTAATGCACTTGAATCATCCTGAAAGCTTGTCCCCCAACCCTTGGGTCTGTGGATAAATTGTCTTTCATAAAATGGGTCCCCAGTGCCAAAAAGGTTGGGAACTGCTGACTTGAGTGATATGAGATGGTAAAGTAAGTAGGATCCAGATCTTGATTTTCTAAAGGTCCATAACAAAGAGATTGTATTTCATTCTGTATACAGTAGGGAGGTATTCAGAGTTTAGAATCTGTGATAGGATGTAGTCAAATAGATCACATTTTTGGAAACAATTCTTATAGCAGGATGGAGGCAAGGAGAAAGAGGCAGAGCCAGTTAGGAGATGCCTGCATTAGCCTGGGAGACAGAAGGAGGAGGATCCAGTGATAGTAGATGGATTTAAGCCATATTAAGATGATGGATTTGCCCTGACTAGTGTGGCTCAGTTGGTTTGGTCCCTGGCTGGGACGTGTACAAGAGGCAACTGATGTTTCTCTCTCACATTGATGTTTTTCTCTCTCTCCTTCTCCCTCCTTTCCCCTCTCTAAAACTAAATAAAAATAAAATCTTAAAAAAAAGAAAAGATGATAGATTTAATCCTATCTGGTGAAGGACTGGAGCTGAGTATGAGGAAAAGAAATTAATTGAAGATGGCTCCCAACTTACAAATTTTGCATGTGGATTTGGAGTAGCTTAGAATTAGTTGGGGGTTGCTGCTATTTTTAAAAAGAAAGATGGCATAAAGGAAATGTGGAGAAATTATGTAAGAAAAGCCTCCCCCCCCCCTTTAACATTTGGGTAAGAAACATTTAAGGAGGAAATATGTAGGTGAATACAAACATATTGTCATTGGGTTCAAAAAATTTTTTTAGAAAAGGATATTTAAAATTGGAAAACAAAAACAACAAGTTATTTTTAATCTGTTGTGAAAATATGCAGAAAGACACTAAATAAAGATTTGAGCATTGAACTTGACTTCAAATATTGTCTTTGGACAGTCTTGAGTTACAAGTCAGACAATGTTTCAATAAAGTAAAAAAAATGGTAACATTTGTTACAAGGTTAGCAAGCATATAATTCTTACTTATTAGAAGGAATAGGCTGCTTGCAACAAAATCTCTATACTTCATACAAATATATATTATTGAGGTAGGTATATCTTGTTTTGAAGTTATATTTTTCACAGTTCATAAGGTACTTAAACATATTTATTCAACTTGTAGAAATTAATCTAAATTATATTTTTGGTTTGGGATCTTTAAATACAAATGTTGGAATTAGAAGCTAGGTATTTGAATATTTGACATATCATTCCTTATGTGTCTTCAACTGAACCATATTTCTTTTTTTTTATTTTTTTCAGTAACACACGCATCTTTATTTTAATCAGAATCAATGTCTATTTGTATTCATTTGAACCATATTTCTTATAACTCTAAAATGTTTCTTTGTTAAGTCAGAAGAAATGCAATTAAACATGTGTAATGCAAATAAATGAATAAGTAAGTAATTGGTAAACAAGGGCTGTTTGGTTGTGTTCCAGTTACTTCTGTGATACTAAGATAGTGTATTTTTATTCATCTTGAAAATGGGCTCAAAATATTAGCAGTATCACTGGTTTCATGAAGCAGGTATTCTGCTTTTTTTGCAGAAAAACTACAACAATAATAAACTTTGTGTTTTTCCTGAGATTGCTCATTTAGTCATCCAACAAGTATTTATTGTCTTTGAACCTAGGCATTATTCTAGGTTCTGGGGATACAGCAGTGAATGAAACAGACATAAATCCCTGTCTACATGTGCTTAAAACACAGAAAGGGCAATAAGAACAGATATGTTAATAAATTGATAAAGTGTCTAATATGCCAGATGATAGTAAGTGTCGTGGAGAAAATTGAGCTGGGAAGGAGGAAAAGGAGTGCTGGGTGTGATTGAGAATTTCTATAGGTAGTTTGAGAAGGCCTTAACTGAGAAGGTATCATAACAAAGTAAGGACATGAGGAAATGAACCAAGTAGATTCTCAGAGGAAAACAGAAAATAAGAGGTTATGTTAGTGACAAAAGCAGAACCCAAATACATCTTCTGACTTCCTCACTTCCTTTATTATTTGTTTTATTTCTTTCTCTGTATACTCTCAGTCTGGTTTTGTCTTTGAGATTAGATGACAGAACTTGGCACTTTATGGAGATCTTTAAATAAAGACAAGATAATGCTTTCTGATTTTCTGATTTCTATTCTTATGAAGTTAAAATTTTATTTTAGAGTTATTTTTTTTAAATTTGTTTTAGCAATTGCAGGAACACCAGGAGCACAGACTTAATGTTTTAATAAATAGTTTACAATGCCTACTTAATTAGTGTTCTGGTCACAATGAATTCTTTTATCAAGAGAATAAGAGAATTCTCGTTCACATGTAACCTATTTCTGTATATGTTACATTATACTTGTACACAATAAAGTTCATTTGCCATATTTCTGTCCACTTGAACAGCATGTGAAAATTTTCTTTAGATCTTCCTGCCAATTTGGCATTAAACTATCCATGAATACTTATGTCACTTTCATAATTAGGAAGGTATTGAAATCTCTGATAAAAAAGTATTTTTATTATACAAGGTAAGGAATTATTTTCTCAGAGCACAAAAAATGTATGTAGAAATTCTTTAGAGTATGATGAATATGTAAGTCAAGAAAGAAACACTCTGATTTTTCAAAAGGTGTTTCCCAAAGTATCTCACCAGAAATAAGTAACAGTAAATGAAATAAATTTTAAAAAATCTAATTCACCACAGCATGGAGGAATAGTTTGTCATATCAAACAATGGAATTAAGGATAGAAAACATCTAATAAGTATAAATGAACTTATTTTGAAAGATACAATTAAAATAATTTTTCCATAAATGACTTGACAGTTAGTAGTGAGGTCTCCAAATCATTATACCATGCTGTCCTCTGCTTTTCCTGTTTCTTTGGAATCACTGTTCTATTGTGGACCAGTGGCCTAACCTGCTAGAACTCTTTCTACTGAAGTCTTTTCATTTGGTTTCCACACAACTGAAAGTTGGTTTTCTCCTTTACTCCAGACTCCTTGCCTGCCTGCCTGAGCTTACGTACTGAGTTCTTGCAATGTCTTCATTTCCACTTAAAAGTAAAGCTTCTAGATTTCCCCAAGTCCTCTTTCATTGATTCCATAACACTTGATAGAATCTTTGTCTCTTTCTTCACCCCTCCTACTGGATTGCCAGCCTCTTCTGGACATTAATTTGTATTCCTAATACATTCATCACAGTGCCTCAAAAATTTTTTTGTTTAATACAATTAGGGCAGATCATGCAGAAAGTTCTCTTTGGATACACTAACCCGTGCCAATTCCCTCCACTCACTATCTATCCAGTCCTCAGGCCACTGGCTTTCCCACCTCACTTGTAAATTCTTTCAAAACATGTGAGCATATAACACACTGAAAATGATATATGCTATTCTTATACAGGAAACAAAAGTGGTAGGAACACACTTCAGGTACCCTGCCAAAGATGAATTGGGTGCAGGAGACAAAAAACAAAAAAAATTGGGACTACTATTTAGGGAGGTGTGACCAGGTAACAATATTTCCTTACAATATGAGGGCCCATTGAGCACCTACATTTTATTTAGGTTTTGTAATCTCGGTCAGGTATGGTAATTGAAAAGGCTCTGGAGTGGTTATACGCCATACTCCAGTTCTAATTCCTTGAAAACGTTGTGGGTACCTCTGCTTTGCGCTGGGCGCAGAATTGCCCCATTCATCAAGCCTAGAGCTGCCTGCCCCCGGCGTTGCCGCACTGCATGCTGGGAATCGTAGTCCCAGCTGGCTGCGCCCGAAAAGACGGAAGGGCACATGCATCCAGCCCGCCCCATCGTTACCAGAGGTCACATTCCTGGGCTGCTGTTTTTCATTCTCTTGGGAAGAGCATTCTGTGAACGCAGTTGAATGAGTCTGTGCTACCGTCTCTCTACTGGGTTTCAAAAAAGTTTTCCTCTTCTTCCCCTTGTACGGAGCTCAAAATGGCGGCCTCCTGGTCGCCCTTGGTTACCCTGCGATTAGTGCAGAGCCGTTTGAGAGGGAGATGTGTTGGGTGCGGAGCCTGGGCAGCAGCATTCACCCCTCCGGCCACCGCCCCTGGGAACCCCTTTTGGAAAGGTCAGTGACTGTGCCATGAGTAGGCCGAGTCGACGGGGAAGTGATTAGGTCAGTCACTCTCCCGTCTCGATCAACCCCAGCTGCCTTCTGGTTTCATGGTTTTAGGGCTCTCGAGAGGAGTTAGTTTCAACTTTTCCTGCCCTTCTGTTACTGCCTGTGTTTGAAGGAGCCCTGAGCACTATGGGAGCTGACCCAGTGTCATTTTGAAGGTCAGAGCTTGTCCCAGAGTTTGCTCTGTCCAGACTGTTAGAGAGCTAAGACCTGGTGAGCCCAGGTGTTGGAGTGCATGGCTAGAAGGGGTGCTAGTGTGAGGTTGGGACCGGGAACTGTCCACCCTGCCCCTTCCTAAGCTGTCTGGGCTGGTGAACTGGCACTGGATCTAAAGCCACGCCTGGGACCCCTGGGGGACTTCTGGTTCTTGGGATTCTGGGAACGCATGCCCACAAGCATTCGCAGATTGAAGGATTGATTATAAAATTATTTTCAAATCACTACAGGCTTCAGTGGGGTATATTTTCTTCACCGTGCTTGCTTCATTCATTCAGTTGTTATGTGTTCATGAATGAATGCACATATTCTTGAATAACCAAGCTCACAAGAGTGCTAATTTTACTGCTCTATTCGTATATTCCCACTAAATTGCGGGTTTCTCAAAGGCAAGGACCAGGTGTAATTGTTTCCTCATCACTTAGCACAATGTTTGGTGGGTAGATGTGTTTTTTTGAATGAATGAATGAATGAACCACGTTATTCTTGTCTTTTCTATCTATATACCTCGGTTTTTTCTCATGTTCAAGAACCCTCTATTGTATATCTTAACTGAGTCTTATTGACTAATTTAGCAAAAGCTCTATCAGTCTTTGACTGTTAGCCTCAATAGATTTGAAATGAGTACAGAACTATGGTTAAGTCACCTTAGGTGTTTCTGCAAAGTCTAGTATAATCCACTTTATAATGGAATATTTGGGTAGCATAAGGTTTGGATCATACTATAAACTTTAATATTTGGAATAGGCAATAAAAGCAAATGATACAAAATTCAGAAGGTGCAAGGAGTACAGTCGATCTAAGACTCTCTTCCACTTCTGCCTGTTAGCCACTTAGTTTTCATCCCTAGAGGCAACCTGTAATAGTGGTTACATATGTGTTCTTCCAGAGACATTCTGTGTATATACAAATATAAATGTATATAAATACCTGCATAAAAAGTAGAAGTGGAACATACTGTACACTGTACTGTTCCTTTCATTTACTTTTTATTTAGTAAATCTTGGAAATCATTGCATATCAATAAGTATAGAACTGTCTTATGTTTTAAATGGTTAAAATAGAATTCCATTCTATGCACATACCATAATTTATGAAAAGTAAAATTTAAGGAAAATCATCATAATGACATATAAGATTTACTGAGTGCTTGTTCTTTGTCATGCAATAAGCTAAGTGCTTTCTACATACATTATCTCATCTAATTCTTATTATCCTCATTTTGGGGATGATGAATCCAAGGTTGCAAAAGTTATATGGCTAGTTAAGTGGCAGAACTTGTGGGTTCAAGTAAAGATTGTACTTGGGGTTAATATCTGGCCCTAAAGGCTATGCTATTAACCTGTGCTCACAGTACCTCCTATATTCGAAAATAGCCTAGTGTAGAGATTTATGAAAATGCAGTTATGAATATGCCTCCTTCCCCTCTTTAAATCAGTGGAAAATTTAAATTGAAGTGTTTAGCATTTAGAGTCTCACTTGCAAATTTTTCTATGCCTTTTTTGTTATTTTGGTTATTTACTCTTTATATTTTATTTCCATTTTTTTCATCTTTCAAATCTACTCCTTACTACAGTGTGATGTGAGGGAAGCATTGACTTAATGTTACAGCAAGGAAATAGGTAAAGGGAAAGAGAGAGTGGAAAGCATTTTTGTTTTTAATGCCCATCTAAGCTTTAATGACAGCCCTGACTCGCAGACATTTTGGAAATTGGAACTATGAAAATTTTAAGGGTCCTAAAATGCTGCTCATCCAAATCACCACCTATCTGATTGCCTAACTTTAAACTTTGTAGGAAATACATTATGAATTCCATTTTGATATATGCGTACTTCCATTAGTAAGATTATTAAAAAACTGAAAGTGAAAATTTTAAATATATAATTACTATTTATAGAAATTATGTATAAATTTATATTTAAACATTTACTTTAATTTTATTTTAAATATTTTAATTTTATGTTTATATTTAGATTTATTATATGTTTATATTTAAATTAATTCAAATATATGTGCTCAATTTTACTGCCTGTTTTCTTTCCATTATAATGTAACAGTTATTCACCTTCCAGATAGTTAAGGAGAAGCATTTTATTAGGTATCAGAGTGGCCATGGTGTGGGCGTTAAATGCCTCAAAATTGCCAATTCAGTTGAAGCCTGGTATTAAGTGTGTGTGGGGGGGAAAGTGAATGAAATTTCATTCCAGCCCTTGAATAAATAGCTCACAGCCTTGGAAGGGACATGAAATTGTAATAGCTAACATTTATTGAGCTGTTTCTTTGTTCCAGGCAGTCAGCTAGCAGTTTTATTCTCTCATAATTTATCTTCTTAAAAACTTGATAAATAAAATTATCTCTATTTTATAGATGAATAAGCAGGTATGGCTACTTAACTGGGATTTGAACCCAGATATTTTTGCTCCAGAACCACAAACTTAACCATGCTGTTCTACTAGATTCTTACCATGATAATGGACATTAATAACACAATGATCTAGAGCACCTGAGGTGGTGTAGTATTACAGAGGAGAAAGCAGCTCTGCTTGAAGCTTGGGGTGGTGGTGGTTTAAGCAAAAGTATAGAAGTGAGTTTTATATAACTCTTACTGGTTTATGGTCTACCAGTGAGAGCAGCTAGAGTTGAAGCTTGGGAGGCGGGCTGGGATCTGGTTAGAAGAGTCCTGTCTAGTGTGTGAAGATGTCTACATTCCGTGGGGTGCTGTTGGAGGTTTCTTAAGAAGTGAGTAATCAGATGTGTTTTAGTATGGTTATTCTTGTGGCAGTCTGAAAAACAGATTAGGAATGCCTCCTTGAGGGGATATTGGAAGCTGGATAATTACTCAGAAGAAAGTTGTGGTGGTTCAGGGGAGAGAGCCAGTTAGGACCTGAATTATTGCCTTACTGAAGATGGAGATCAGGGCAGTAAGAGATGAGATTCCGAGACACTGCTTTGGTAGAACTGACATACTTTGGGGGAGATGAGGAAAAACTGGAGTTAAGATCAATTTAGTTTTCCTAGTTTGGGTAATTAATGGCATTGTCATCTATCTATCAAGTGAAACAAAACAAAAAGTTAGGCCAGAGGCATTTTAGGGGGAGATCCATTTTGAATTTTTTAAAATTGAGGTGTTCATGATGGTTCCAGGTTAATAAGTTTAATTAGTTGTAGGATATCTGAGGCTGAAAAAGGAAATTTGAGGTGTCGAGAGTCATAAGAATGGAAGATCAAGCCTGGGAACATTTGTAGAGTGAAAAGGAGAAAAGGCTGAGGATGAGTCCTTGGGGGAACTGAGGTTTTATGAGCAGAAATGTGACCTTGTTGAAGAACAGTTATGTGAGGGGGCCCTGCCCACAGAGCTCCCCTAGTCGCCTCCGATGAGAATAAGTCCACCAAGACATGATCTGTTTGGGGAGGAAAGGCTGACCAGTCTCTCAGAGGAGAAAGGCTTTGGGCCTTTTTCTCAATGGGCTTTTACTGGGTTTAGTTTGCATAGGAATACAGGGTGTGTACATAAAGCTCCTCAGTCATTGTCAGGCAGTAATGATCAAGGAATAGATAACATTGAAAGAACTATAAGGGCTTATTCTGAGTCAGAGTCAAATAGGCCATAAAACTTTGGGAAAACAAGTTCATTTTATGCTTGGACCTTTAACATTTAAATTGAGGGCATTCTTAGCAAAGCAAGTTTGACAGGGTTTTATGCTTTCTTTCTTAGGCCTGATCGCCCCGGGAACCACCCGTTCCAGCACATGGCCGCACCAGCATTGTTTTAGGCTTAAGTCAGTCAGGGGGAAGTAAGGCAGCCAAGAGATTAGGAGACTTCTTACAGACAGAATGAGGACTCAGGCTATGAGAAAGCCCAGGGGTGAAGGTTCATCACCCCTTTTCTATAATCCCCTAAGTCCTTCCCTGATGGTCACTTCAAGACTGCCTTAGTTTGTCCCTCCCTTGAGGAATCTTACCCATCATTGACTATCCAGCCACCCACCTGGGGCCAAGCAGGGTGAAATAAAGGACAGAGGCTGCACCCCTGCCTGGAGGATAAGCTTTGTCTCCTTAGTGGCTTATGGTCCCAAGTCTTTTTACTCAGCCTTAGCCATGGGGGGTTACAGCCTCTGAAACTAGGCAGGGCGGTTCCCAACACAGTTAAGTAATAGGAAAATGGGGAGAGAAGCCAAGGAGGAAAATGTCTGTAGGTTTTCTGAACTTAAAATTAGCATATCTGAAATTCTATTTTATTTAAGCTAGTCTTAAAATTTAAGTTTATTTTATAGAGGTAAGATAATATGACATCTTATTGTTGTCATAAGATGGCATCACATCTTATCATTACTTATTATTATAAAGTCCTATATCTCAATGTTATATTTTTAAGTATCTCTGTTGTCCTCTTTGGAGAAGTGTCTATTCAGGTCCTTTGCTCATATTTTAATAGGGTGGTTTGGTTTCTTGATGTTGAGTTGTATGAATTCTTTTTTAAAAAATATATTTTATTGATTATGCTATTACAGTTGTCCTATTTCCCTTCACTCCCCTCCACCCTGCATACCCTCTCCCACCCACATTCCCCCCTTTAGTTCATGTCCATGTGTCATAAGTTCTTTAGCTTCTACATTTCCCGTACTATTCTTGCCCTCCCCCCTGTCTATTTTCTACCTACCATCTATGCTACTTATTCTCCATACCTTTTCCCCCTCTCTCCTCCTCCCACTCCCCTGTTGCTAACCCTCCA